AGTTAAATATGGGCGAATTCTGAGATGGATCAAGCAGATAGGATAGGGCCTTAACCCTATCCGCTCAGAGAGTCCAGATCTAAATGTGATTTGGATCTAGAAACCTCCTAATAAGATTAGGAGAAGGTTRATCCAATCTRYAGATAAGATAAGGGTTTATCCTTATCACCTAAAGAGATGTTTTGATCCAAATAAGATTTAGATCAGCAACTCCTAATTGGATTAGGAACTGATCCTTTGGGGTTACAAGGAAGGGGGCGGCAGCCTTTAGAGAAGATATACTCACATCCTCTTCAGAGCTAAAATCACAGAAGAAAGATTTCTGCAATCCCTGCAAAGATTTTTCTTGCCGCCTCCATCCTGCAGCCGCCAGACATCCTGTTCGATCTCCATTGGTGGGAGAAGTCAAGATTCGATCTTGACATCAGTTCTTTGACAAAGAATTGATAGGAAGCTGTGCTCACGTGCCATCCTGCTGTTTCTTGCGAATGATAGAATTCTTGGAGAAGAATACTGTTGATTCTGCTCCATCCTGCACTGCGCCATCTTCAGTGGGAGCAGTCTTTTGATCCTTCCTTGGGCGTGAACACCTTCGTTGGGAAATATTGTTTCTCCGTATCAGGTATAACCCTCTCCTACTCTTTTTGGTTCAGATCTGGTACAATTTATGGTTCAAGATTGATCCTTGAAAATATGATTTTCTAAATAGGGAATGCGATTCCCACTTGAAGGGAGAGAAAATTTTTTGAAATTCGCCCCTTTATTCCGCAAGTTTTGGGCGTCCATAGGATGGATCTCTCATCCCTTCACATACCTGATACAAGGAAGCAAGAGAGGTAGAATGGACTGAATAGCTTTCTAAGGTGAAGCCTAGGTTGCCCCTGCAAATAGTCCAGCATCCCATTCATTGTCCTCTTGCACATAAATGCTTACCACTACAGCAGTACCCTTTTCCACAACTTCTCCCCATCTAAAAGTAATCTCCATAACCACTTCCCTAATAAGGCTTGGTTTCTCAGCTCTAGGTTTCCCAATACCAGCCCTCCCTATTTTCTATTCTAGAAACTACTTGCCAATTTATTAGATGATCCTTCCTGTCTTCCCCTGGCTCCCATAAATAATCTTTGATTGTCTTCACAATGTTTTTTGGTAATTAAAAAAAAAGAAAGAAAAAGAAGAAGATAAGTACAATACGGTGACAAGAAATCACCCACAAAATTTCAAAATCCAAGACCCTCCCACCCCTTTTAATACAAACTTTTTCTTTCCCAATTTTCACAGAACAAACAAGACTCACTACCAAAACCCAAACATGTACACTAGTAAATAAGCCAAGGCAGATTTAATCAAGTGATTCTACCCCCTAAAGATATGTACCCTCTTTTCCAAGCACCCAACTTCACTAGTTAGCAAAAACTATGGTCCGTTGGGTTGGCCTCAATAGGAAAATAGGAATACTTAAGTATTTCATTGACATAGAAGAGGTAGAGCATCCTACAATCTGTGCAAAGGAAGATAACTCACTCTCCAAGTTGATTCCTACCATGCAACTTTTCCCAAAATTAACCTTCAAAATTCAAAAATTTGCACAATGAGCCTCAAATTCCTAATCCACCGGTCTCTCTCCTTCACAAAACAAAATAATGTCATCTACAAACTGCAAATGGGTTACCACCACTCTATTTCTTCCTACTCTCCACCCTTTGATCAGTTGTAATCAATCTGCCTTTATGATTAATCTACCAAATACATTTGCAATAAAGGTAAGCATAAAAGCAGAAAGGAGGTCACCTTGCCAAAGTCCTTGGACTACTGTTACATGGAGATACTTAAAGTGAGGATTTGCAATTTTGTAGAGTTAACATGGCAGATATTTTAGTAAATCTACATGATTCACACTATAACTAGGGGTGAGCATTCGGTTTATTCGGTTAAAAACTAAACCAAATAAACTGCAATTTTTAAAACCAAACTAAAAAAATAAAAACCAAAACCAAATTATAGAAAAACCAAAATAACCGAAACCGAAATTTTCAGTTCGATT